TGTAATTAGACAAAATATTATATTATTTAATACTTCAAAGTATGAATAATTTTTGTGAATTGGCTACAATTTTTTATGGCTATGATTTCTCTGTTAACCACGAGAAATGCTATGTGGACCATGTTGATAATCACTGCTTTAGATCAGTAATACCTGAAGTTGACGACAGGGCCCTCGGCGATGGCGGTGGAAACATCCTGGAAAAAAGTTAGGAGACAGAAGGTGGCAGTTATACATTTGAACCATAATATACGGTACACACACATTGTGCCTGAAGTCAATCTTTCTTTCACTTTACTGTGTATATATATATATATATATATATTAAAGACATTTTTATGTTTAACGTTGTTATTTTATAGATACAAGTATTTAAGCAAATGCTCTGTTTATGATAAACAGTATGAAATAACATTTACCGGCCTGAATGTCCGAGAAATTTTCATAGAAAATATTCGTTCTTTGACAGGATTCGAACCTGCATCCTATACGGAACAGTCATATACGCTGACGTGCCTTACCACTGGGCTACAAAGAACCTTTTCGGTAGACAAGTTCGAATTTACTGCTTATAAACTTCAATCGTCAATGAATCTCGTACATTCATAACTTCTCTGGCGTATCAAATGTAAACAAATGACGTCATATATTAAGAAATAGACAAGGTCCGACAATTTATTTATTAAAGACATTTTTATGTTTAACGTTGTTATTTTATAGATACAAGTATTTAAGCAAATGCTCTGTTTATGATAAACAGTATTAAATAACATTTACCGGCCTGAATGTCCGAGAATTTTTCATAGAAATTTTATGTGCCATGTCCCTTCCACTTCTCCCTATCTCTTGTAGCACTCAGTAAGTTTTCTAGGTATCTCACGCGATGCTTTCCCTTGTCTCCCTTTCCCTCTATTCGCCCTGTGAGTATCAGATTCTCCAAATCCTCCTTTCTCATTACGTGTCGCAGAAATTTCAGATGTCTCTTCCTGGTGTTAACTATAAGCTTCCTCCTTGTTTGCATCCTCTCCAAAAATTCATAGTTGCTCACACGCTCGGTCCATGATATCCTTAGCCTCCTTCTGTTGAACCATACCTCCGTTACCTCGTGTCTCTTCTTCATCTTTGAGGAGACCGTCCAATATTCCCTGCCGTAAAGGAGGACAGATATCACGTAGTTGGTCAATACTCTTTTCTTTCTTACCAACGAAATCATCATTTATGCAATTCACACGGCCCTGTGGCTAAAAGAAGACAGCAAGGAGGCGGTAGTGTTTTAATATTGGCTGGAATTGTCGACCAAACCATTATTGTCTAAGTCGATGAAGTAATTAATCTGAACTGTGTTAACTTTCGGGATTTTACGAACAAGAGGCGGTAGTGTTTTAATATTGGCTGGAATTGTCGACCAAACCATTATTGTCTAAGTCGATGAAGTAATTAATCTGAACTGTGTTAACTTTCGGGATTTTAGGAACAAGACTTTCTTTCAATGTTAGGACGCTTTCTCCGTTAGTAGTTGCATAATTAAAAGAAGAAAAAAAAACACAACATTTTTTACGCCTCAAATTGCTCCTTCGTTGTAAACGTCATCATTACTTAAGTGTTTCTAGATTCTTTGCACTGTTATATTCAAATTAAAGGAGTGGCCAAGAATGGCAACTGCTAGTCGAAATATTTCTATAAAATAAATCATTCGTTGGAACTATAAGTTTTTTTTTCTTTTAATTTAGATATTCTTTACATGGTACAAGTCCCTGTCTTGCAGTTTCAAAGTGAAGGGTCTATTTATGCACAACAATGCACTTTCTCGGGTATCTAAGCTTGCCTATGAATTATTTGCGCATAAATGATTTACGGGAAAGAATATAATGAAATGGCTTGATCAAGTCCTGGTCTGAATCCGGTCGGAAATGTATGGCCAATTGTGAAGTTTAAATTATAGAGAGAAGGCAAACGATATAACAGCAAAGTTGGCATATGGGAAGAAATTAAAATTATCATGTCTGAAATTGAACCGTCTCAAGTAAAAAAAAGTAACAAAATTAGTGGATAATTGATTAGTGCGAAGAAGGATCGCTATATTAAAATTTAAAAGATTCAAAGACATATGTGTTTGTTATCAGTTCTTTTATAGGTGATGATCAATCTTGATCTTTTTATTACTTTTTATTAAAGTAAAGTGTGATTAATTTTTGCCTAATTACTTCTGACGACAGTTATTTTTAGAATGCATCAAATAACTTGAATAAAACATATAGATACTACTTAAAATTTTTACTCAGAATTTGATTTGACATCTAAAGTGATTGCTTAAAATTTGACAGTTTTTTTTTTTTTAATGAAGTTTATATAATTTGCTTAATAACTTCAGACAGGATGTACTATCGACGCCAGCATGGAAGTGGAGACTGTAAAATAATTTTGTCTTTGGCAAATATGCCTGTGTCTGGGCACTATGCATAAAAAAGGCCTTGTGTCATGTCCTGCCTCAGTTCCATGTTCAGTTAAATATAATAACTTCTCAGCCTCCGTGTCAGGATCAATGCATAGTATCTGTTTTCTTCATTAATCAATAGAAAAGCAGCGTCATACCTAGGATTCCAAACGTCGAGTCAGCAGCTTTCTCTTTACTTTTTAAACAGGATCGGTGAAATATGGACGTCAGCGTGACAGTGTTCGCGAGACTTGGCAATTTCGTCCATGGCCCAAATTTGCGGATATGGAGAGGCCACATTAAAAAGTGTATTCCGTCGCCTCCCACGGTCGGGGAAGGTTGGTAAAATGCCATATGCGTCAAATATAGACGCCATGACTGTTTAATCTATGCTAGCATCGTAGATATCTTCGTCAACTTCGATGTCGTCCTCTTCCGCGCAGTTATCTTGTCCTTCTTCAAACAGGAAGCAATAATAACGTCCACGTTTTCCGTAGCTGCAGAGAAATAGCCTCTAGCCAATTGTTCATAAATCTTTTTCTCCTTCGGTGAGCCTTTTTTTTTCTGCCTTAAGCTTGTTAGACGTCTATATGAATACGTCATTACGTTGGCTCTATTAATGTGTATATTTTAGGCTTACAGACAAATCACATTGTGTGGTGGTAAAGCAACGACTCAACTGATAGTAGCAGATAGGAAACGCGAGGAGAGTAACCGACAGAATAGTGTCACACGTTCAACCTTCTCACAAGCAAAAAACACAGTCCTCAGAAACAAAAACTCGCCTGCTTTATACAGCCGAGGACCGACCATGATTTGCATGCGAATGTTGAGACAACGAGATTTCGCGTGAACTGTCCGAGACCGCCCGACATAAAACATGGGCGCTACCATTTTGGTTCTTTTATTGTTGAGCAAACCTATGGGAAAGACGGTCGGTATCCTTACCCCGACCATGATCAAATCAGTGTCCCACCCCTATTTAGGTCTGATAATGGCTCTCTGGTTAGCAACTTTGAATGTCCGGGGCCTGAGGTCGGAGTCTCGAAGGGCGAGGCTCGATCGCGATCTTCAGCGCCTCGGGGTGGATGTATGTTGTGTGCAGGAGACCCGTTTTTTATCTCGCGATCATGAGGACATTCTGTCTAAGAGATTCGTCGTCTATTCAGCATGTTTTGATGGACGCTCGAGGGGTGTTTCCTGGCTGGTGAGCAAGTCTCTGGATGCAGTGTGTGCTCTTGTCTTCGCGGATCCGGCGGGCAGGCTTTGTGTGCTGGATGTTACCATAAAGGACAAGGCTCTTCGTCTCATTGGGGTTTATGCGCCCAATGACCATGTGCAGCGGCCTGGTTTGTTTCGGCGGATCGAGCCGTTTTTGACGACTTCTCGTTCGGTAGTTTTAGCGGGTGATTGGAATGCCGTCCTTGATCCCGATATAGATCGTATAGGAAGAAAACCGGGTACTAACAATCCGGATGTGAAATCGTTTCGGGACTTTATCGACGGGTCTGATCTCGTCGATAAGTACCGAAATGAGCACCCCCGGGAGGTAGTATGGACTTGGACTAGGAACGGCAGCTCGGTTACGGTGGTTAGCGCAAGCTACATCGACCGAGTTCTAGTTAAGAGAGTCGACGTAGGGCTCTTAGAATGTCCAAGTTTCCATTTTATAGTTTACTCGGATCATAGGCTTGTCCGGGTTCGGGTAAACTTAGATAAGCCTAGGGTTAAGATGGCTGGGTACTGGAAATTGAACTCAGCATTATTTGGTGAGCAAGATTTCCGGGACCAGCTTTTACTAATGCTACAGTGGGAATTGACGGGGGCTGTGGTTGGGAATAAGTGTTGGGGCTTTTTGAAATCTAAGCTTAGGGCTTTTGCTGCTGATTTTAGTCGACGACTCAATATAGCAGGGCTAGCAGCGCAAAAGTCTCTAGAGGACAAAGTAGATCGGGCGATAAAATCCCGTGATAGTGGGGACATAACCGTAGCTAAGGCGGAGCTGGCCTCCTTGCTTATCAAGAAGGATCAAGCTCTAGTAGTTAGGGCTAGGATAAAAAGAATGTCTTGTGAGGCTATGAATATGGCCGCGTCTTTGCGTTCAGAGGAAGCTCGTAGGGCAACTAATCGGCATATCGCAAGCATCACATTGCCCGATAAGCGGACTGTGACTACAGACGCAGGCATTTGCGAGGCTTTTCGTGACTACTTTCAGGAGCTTTTTACCAGGGAGCCCGGTCTGAGCTCTGCTCAGTTCGATGCCTATTTAGCCGACTTTCCCTGCCTTGAGGCGGCTGAAGCGGCTAGGTGCGAGGGGCCCATAACAGAGTCTGAGATCTGGGATGCGCTGAAGCAGGTTGGCCTGGACAAGACTCCGGGATTAGATGGTCTTCCCTATGAAATGTACTTGAGGGCAGTCGCCCGTCTTTGTCCCTTTGCTGGCACTGATCTTCAACAACTGGATGAAGCAGGGGTCTATTCCTCAACGCTTCACCAGGGGTGTGATCAAGTTGCTTCGCAAGAAGAAAGACGGTGGGATGGGATAGATAATTATCGGCCTTTGACAATGTTAATTACAGAGTTGAAGATTTTAGCCAAGGTCTTAGCTGACCGTTTGCAGATTGTCCTCTCTAGTCTGATTGGTCCCGAGCAGACTTGTGCTGTGAAGGGCAGGACTATTCAGGACAACCTTCATTTGGTTCGCTTGATCATCGAGAAAGTCGACAGTGATGCCGCGCTGATCAATTTAGATCAGTCCAAGGCTTTCGATAGGGTTGACCATCGGTTTCTGGAGGCTGTTCTTTCGGCCGCCGGTTTCGGGCCGCACTTTCGTACTTGGATCCGACTGCTGTATGCGTCCCCCGGTGCGCTGGTAGAAGTGAATGGGGTAAGATCGAAACCTTTCATGTTGTCTCGCTCCTTTCGTCAAGGCTGTCCGCTGTCTCCATTGCTGTACGCTCTTGCGTTGGAACCTTTCCTGCGTAAGTTGAAGACGAATCCGGTCCTTCGCGGAATTTCCTTACCTGGTGCTACCACCTCGGCCAGGTACTTCGCCTATGCTGATGACGTTTCGGTTCTGGTGTCGAGTAGGGCCGAAATTAACGAAGTCAGCAAAGAAATCAAGGGTTATGAGACGGTGACAGGGGCCAAGATCAACCGCGATAAGTCTGTTGGCTTGCGGTTGGGTTCGTGGAAGGGAGTTTCTCTTCCCGGATCTTTCCTCTGGACGGACGGGCCGGTCAAGATACTCGGCGTCTGGTTCGGTCCCGACCTCCAGTTGAAATGAATTGGTCGGAGGTGCGAGAGAAGGCCGAGCTCGCAGTACGTCTGTGGACTCGGAGGAATCTTTCCTTGAAGGGGAGGACGGAAGTATGTGCCTCGCACATCTACCCGATTCTCCTTTACCGACTTTCCGTGCTTCCACTCCCGTCTGACACTTTATTGGCTTTTGTAAGGCTCTTGTTCTCCTTCTTGTGGGGAGGCAAGGCTGCCATGGTCAGTCGCGAGATCTGTTACCTCCATCCCTCTGATGGCGGTCTGGGGGTGCCTTGCGTTGAGACTCGTCAACATACGCTTCGCATTACTTATCTAGACCGGATGTGTATGCAACTGGATGAGGACGGCGAATTCTGGAAGGAAGACGCCGGTAAACATTTTCCATCCTTGAGAAATGTGCGCTCGTGTGAGGAGGAGACCGGTCGTACTCCTCGATGCGAGGGCTCTTTCTATCGTGAATGTCGGATTTCCCTCAAGCGACTCTTACGGGCGAAGGATGGCCTCTCCGACGTCCAGCCGTTGTCTCGTAAGGCATTATATCAGGTGTTAGTTATAGGCGAGCTCGGGCTGACGAAGCGGGAGGCTCGCTGCATATGGCCTTGGGCGCCCCGGGTTGAAATGTCTCACTAACCCCGAGGCATCACTCACCTGGCTGGTGATTCGAGGAGCCCTCTGGGTCGCCAAAGACTTCGCGCAGCGGGTTTGGCTAAGTCGCCAAACTGCGTTCGCTGCAGTGGGGAGGTGGAGACCATAGGTCACGCCTTCTTTCATTGTAGTGTCGTAGTTCCCTTGTGCAAGTTTGTTGAAGATATCATGGTTCGCATGCTGCGTGGAAAGTTCTTTGTCCTCGAGGCCAGTTCCGTCTGTAGCAATATAGTACCGCCGTTGACTAAAGCTGAGCACTATGTGTTCATTTGCTTACTCTGGGTTATGCGAGTCGTGATATGGACGACGCGACAGAAGGAATTTCATGGGCGCGAGAAGTTTTCCTCTTCCCAACTGATCTTGTTCTTTAAACATCAGCTTAAAGTCAAGATCAGGACGGAAAGGAAGCGACTCCATCCATTGGAATTTGGGGAAATTTGGGTGAGTCTTGCGCGTCTCTGCAGAGTGAAAGGTGCTGACTTGGAGTGGCATTTTGATGCCGGTTAGGCATTAAGAATTTTGGGATCGCTGGGGTGAACATTGGCTACCCCTCCCTTGTATAGGTTAGTTTAGGTCCGTTTTGTTTTAGTTAATTTTTCTTTTTTTTTCATGTTAACTTAGCTAGGGTGTGTATGCTCATTGGCCCCCTTTTTTTTCTGGCCCTATTTTTTTTCTTTTTGTTTAATTCCCCATCCCTCCCATCGTTAGGTGGTTAGGGGTATCAGTTCTCTGGTGGGTGCGGGGCGCCTTTCGTTTCGAGTATGTCTTTCGTATTTGTTGTTGTGTTCGATTGAGTGTGTGTTTGTAGTGAGTGCATGGATGGTATGAATGTTTTATATTAACTTTTTTAAGTCCCGCATTGTTTTCGTCCAGTTAACTGATTTCTCTGCCACAGTTAGTGCTGTGGGGGGTTTTACTACTAACAAAATTTTTGTTTAGTTTCTGGTATATAGTTTTGTATTCATTGTAAATATTCATTGGGGTTTTCTTTTTAGATTGTTATTTTATTCCCCTCCCCCCACAGACACATGTATTGTATATATGGGGACTAGTTAGAACTTCATAGAGACTCTGAGGCATTTTGGTGGATGTAGTAAAGAATGGTATGTAATGGATGTGTTGTTTTGGTGAAAGGAACATTGTTTGTATGTATGGGTCAGTGATTGTGGCTAGCTAAGTTTAAAGTTAAGACAGATGACCATCCTTTCCCCCTTTCCCCATCTCGGCCTTGTGCCACATTTGTACTTTGTGCAATAAATAATTTTATTGTTGAGCAAACGGAGTTTACATGACGCACAGATTCGCAGGCGTTTCCGAGTTAGGGCATTTTCACAATTTTCCCCACACATTGAAACACTGATCCTCGTGTCATCACCGACGTTAAGCAATGTCGAATCTGGACAGAAACTCAATGGGTTGAGCGCTTGGGAATACCAGGTGTTGTAAACTTGGATGTGCTGGTGGTGTAATGGATAACGGCTCAGAATTCGAAGTCGGAGAGCCAAGTTCCCAATCCATTCGGGTTCGTTATATTCGCTGACGCGTAAATACCAATGGGAACGAATAAATCCCCGTCTTACGAACATTTATCTTTATAATAATTTTAAATAATTCAGCAGACGACGTTATTTTATTTAATTTATGGTAACTGGATTTTTTTGGCGATGGCCTTACTTCGTTTCTAAATGGTGCTTTTTATCGCGGTCGAAACCGCTTCTCGGTCTTTTGGCCGGGGATGGTAAGACATGTATAGCTAAAACATTATTATCTACAAAAATACTCACAAAATAAAATTATTTCCTCGCTTTAAATAACCTGGTTGATAATATTTTGAAAACGAATCAATTGATCAATGTGCAAATTTTTTATTTCAAAACTATTTAAATTCTTATTTTTCCGCAATACGATCTGGATAAAAACAAATGACCAAACGTTTAAATCAGGTTTAATTAAGCTGGTATATTTAAAAAAAGAATATTTAGGAGGGATTATATCTCTCCACAATCTCGTTGTCTAAAGGTAGGGCTTCGTAATTTTATTTGAGACTTAGCGTAATGGTTACCAACACGTAAATTGAATTTTAGAAGCGATCTCGATTTTCGTCTATGATTCGCAAAGATCCTCTACCAACAACTATGAGTAAAATAACACGAGAAAACCGGCGGATATTGGCTTGGTTGGCAACCAATACGAGAACAAATAATATAATTGCAGAATCTGCGTTCGTAAGAAAACCTGATTAACTCTATTTCGTTTTTATCAGTTTCTGTCATATAAACGGTTGACAGTTGTAATGTCTTATTTAAAGACAGAAAAAAAAGATACTGATTGCCAGGATGGATAGCTGACACTTGTGAAACAAAATTGCAGGTTTAAAAGCTCTAAGGTATCTTTTACTGTTTCAGATCTTTTATACTGCTCAACTGAACGAGAATTAACAAAGCTCTTTGCAGATGCGCTTAAAGCAGACACCCGATTAATGTTAAATAATGGCTTTCCTGTACTCCTGTGTATATTTTAGTCAGTTAAATGATGTTTGTCGCCTGCTTATTTATCTCACAAATAATGTCGCCTGCTTAGTTATGTCTCAAATTAGGCCGCCAAATTTGTTATATCCCAAATGATGGCGTCTGCTTTGTTATATATTAATGGATGTCTTCTGCTTAGTAATATCTTAAATTATGTCATCTTTATTATATCTCAAATCATGCCGGCTGCTTTGTTACATCTCAAATTATGCCATCTGCTTCGTTCTATCTCAAGTAATGTCATCTGCTTAGTTATATAATAAGACCATCTTCTTCGTTAATATGTCAAATAATGTCGTCTGCTTAGATATATCTTAAATGATGTCGTCTGCTTCCTTATATCTTAAACGATGCCATCTGCTTAGTTACATCTCAAATCATACAGGCTGCGGTAAGAGTAACCACCCTTTTTAATTATTAATTTTTATTGAACAAAAATAAATTACAGTATTTTGAGAAAATTTATAAGTATTGTCACATTAAATCAACATGATTCGTTAATATTAACAAACTATTTAATATGTTGAAAATGTTCTCCTTCATGTTCGATACAACGTTGAATCTTATCAGCAAAACAAATGATTTGACACATTAATTTTAGAAAAAAAAACTATCAGTACATGCTTGTTTTTTTGGGGGGGAGGGCGTTAAGCATTCAACCCGAGGCAAGGCGAGAAGCCACTAGCACGCAAGGGGTTACGGAGTTGGAGTGAGAACAAAGAGGAGTGATAGAGGAAAGGATGAAGAGACGGTTAGGGGATAGATCAGAGCATCTGGTGATGTCGATTGACTTTACATTTGAATAGTTGGAGATTATAGCTATCAGGAAAATAAGAAATGGGGAGGAAGTTCCACAGTCGAGAAGTGCGAGGCATGAAGCTATTGGAGTAGAAGAGACGGCTCCATTTAACAGTTTCGACAGTGAAAGTGTGAGAGCGAGATGCAAGCCTGGTTGAACGCTTAAATTCATGAAGTCTGGGAACCAGCAGCTCATCGGAGCAGTTACCGTGAAAGTATTTGTAAAAAAGACAGCGGGAGGCAACGGCACGTCTCTGAGAGAACAGCTGTAAACGAGATGCCAGATCAGGGCCAATTACATTGCATATCCGTCTTTCGATTTTATCAACGACCTTGAGACAATTAGGAGCTCTAGACCATATGTGGCAGCAATACTCCATGCAAGTTTGATTGATTTGTAGATTTGAAAAAATCCAGGAATAGTCATCAGTTATAAACTGTAAAGAAGAAGGAGGAGGAGGAGGAGGAAGAAGAGGAGAATAAGACGGAGGAGGAGAAGAAAGAGAGGGAAGAAGAAGAATAGGAGGAAGAAGTTATAACGGAGGAAGTGAGGGAAAGCAAGTGGTATTTAACATGTAATAAAGACGAAGAAAAACGGGGAGAGCCATGATCAGACACATTCCGAAGAGTCAGTGCATTCTTCAAAACTATATTATAGGAAATTCACTGATCTAAAAATATTTTAAAATTATTTATTTCTGAAAGAAATGAAACGTTAATGGTCCGATTAAAACATGTTTCTTGTCTTGTAGAAATTCCTATTTAAATAGTTTTCTTTGGTAAAAGAAAAAGAATACTGAACTGTTACGTGATATCTGTCCTTCTTTACGGCAGCGAATGTTGGATGACTTCCTCAAAGATGAAGAAGAGACTCAAGGTAACAGATTTGGTTCTACAGAAGGGTGCTAAGGATATCATGGACCGAGCGTGTGAGCAACGATGAGATCTTAGAAGGGTTACAAACAAGGAGGAGGCTTATATTTAACATCAGGAAGATGCAGCTGAAGTTTCTGGGACACATAATGAGGAAGGAGGGCCTCGAGTATCTGATACTCTCGGGTCGAATAGAGGGAAAGAGAGACAAGTAAAAACAACGCGTGACATACTTGGCGGACAAGTGGATGACAGAACATGGTCTGGGGGAGATGGCAGAAGGAATGAACTTGTTGAGAGCTGCAAGGAGAGCCATGATCGCCTACGTCCTGAAAGGAGATGGTACATAAAAAGAAAGTAATACAATACGTAATTATGAGACACTACATAGATTAAGCATACTTTACTGCTATTTTCTTGAGTTTAGACACTACCAGTGCGCATCGTCGTTAATTTTATCGGCACCCTTCATTTTTCTCTTTTTAAAGATAGCCAAATTAGCACCAAAGAAAATATGGCTGCTCAGGGTGATATTCTATTCATGCCTACAGTAATTTATACGCATATCTTCGTTATTCCTGGGATACAATAACCGACAAATACATAATGTCATAAAAAATAGAATTATGAAATATTTGTGTGCATTTCAATGGAGAAAAAGTAACAGGATCCATCCTCAATATCTCGTTAAACATGGCTTCTTGCCTGTATGGCGCTTCTCTTCTGGACACACGTCGCCATATGCAATATGCTACGATATGAATTTGCCGTGTCTGTGTAAAATTAGGGACAAATTCTGTGGCTGAGAAAAAAACAAGTGCATTAAGTGTCTTTTCTCTTTCTTCTTCTTCTATTATTATTATTATTATTTTTATTATTGTAAGTTATGTTTCCTGCTTTGTATCCTGTAGAGCCGGGTCTAAACTATGGTCCTTAATCACCAGAGAAGAATTGTTATTTAATTAATAGCACTTTTCTTAGTATATGGGATGTTCCTAGTAGGGCGATCTTCTGGGCAACTTGTATATTGATGTAACCTGGGACACTGTTAGTAAAATTGTCCATTCCTTTTCTCACGAGGCCCAGTGCTCTGATTACTATTGGTACAGTCTCAGTCTTCATTGTCTACATCCTGTTAATTTCGATCTCCAGGTCCTTGTATTTGAACAATTTGTCGATACTTTTAATGGAGGTGTTTCTCTCACATGGTACTGCGATGCCAATAAGCATACACGTCATGATTTCTTGTCTTTTATGGTAATATCAGGTCTGTTGGCTTTTAATTCCCTTTCAGTTTATATTATTATT